CGTCAGGTAATAAATGGAATAAAACCCTAAAAATTCAAAATCCTCCTATTTAACTGCCTAAGAATTGTATTTGGCTTGTTTTACATGTCTAAGCCATCTTTTTGAGCCTCTGATATAAACCCGTCTTCTCCCTGGATCCTCTCTTTCTTCCAAAGTCTTCTTAACTCTTGTGGAATTTCTATCGACGCAACCTTGAACCTCCGACGTCATCGTGTTGTACTACACATTCTAGGCCTTGATCCTTATTCTCCGTTACATTTAATCTCGAGAAAAGTATCTAGTCTACTTTTTTTCCCTTCTTTTCTTCTCTCAAGACTCTTTGAGAAGAATCTAACTGAACTCCCCTCTGTCGATCCACATCTGATCTAAACCAACCCCGGTCAAGATCTACCATGTATTCCTGTGCAAACTATCCCCGTGGATGCCGAGGCCGTGTCAACAGGCAAGGAGCCAAGTGCTCTGACTGCGTTGTATGTCATCCCTAAAATTATATCTTTGAACTTGTCTATACAAAAGACCATTCAAAGAATAGAACAAACAACTAACACCCTTGGCAGTCTCTAAACTTGCGCCGTCCGGCTTTTGCTTCGCCGCTCGCTCAGCCACGCGAGTACAAGCGAGCGCTTCCCTCAGAGCTCTTTGGCGAGCTGTCCTCTAAAGCGTCCGAGCCTGAGCTGTAATGAATTCAAAGCCCGCAAATCCCGGGACGGTCCGGAGAATAACCCAGCTCCTCGTGGCTGCATCCTGCCGGCTGGGATTCACCTCGCATGATCTACGGCCGCTTGCTTTGTTCTTTTTTATTTGCCTCTCTCTCTCCACATCTCTCATATGCATCGCCGGGAGTTTCTTTGTTATATTTGGCGGCCGCCTGCCATTCGCTTTGATTGCCTAATTTCCTGGCTTTCTCATTTTCCTCGCCTCTTTGATCTCGTCTGAACTCTCTCTACATTGGCCGGTCTAATGAGCGAGCTTCCACGAATCTCCTTTTGGGAACTGGGAAACTCGGCAAGGACTTCGCGAACATTTCCTTTTTCACTCGCTTGGGTTTGTTCCTAGGACAAAGAACGGCCCGCTTTTCTGTTTTGCATGGAGGATAGATCGCATTTTTGCATGGATACCTACGGACATGGATCTGCCACTGGAGGGCAGTGGCGCTGATGGATTCGGTTCTTTCAACTCTCCGGTTGATCGTTGATCGACCCCTTCTTTCCCTTGCGCATACGTGTGCTTTGATATTCTTTTACTTTGGTTTTGGTTTTTATGCCCTATTTTTATGTTCTCTTTAACTGATGTTGACTCTTTTCTTTGTGAACGGTGATGCCATACCCCTCTGTTTTACTTGCGCCTCCTATCATATGACCCCCTAGTGCTATATACCTATTTACAGCATTCCTACTGTTATGTCTTGACTTTCTATGCCATCGCTATCCTTGCATAATCTAGAACTAAATCCAGAAGACTCAGCCCTGTCGGCAAGCCTCCAAATGTATTCTCAAATCCGACACCCACTTGACCCGATCCTTGCAGTAGCGTGTTCGGGTCTAAACATCCCCTCAGCCCCAGTGGCACTGCACTGGGGCTGTGAAGTTTCGGCCCCCAAACCCCTCTCTCAGACCCGACGTGGGGATCCGGCACCCGGCTAATCCTCTTCGCTAACATTTTTCAGCCGCAATAACTCCCGCGTCTCACATTGAAACAGATATCCGAGCGCCAACATACCAAAAAAAGACAAAGTTCGTATATACCCCAAACTTTAGAAATCTGCTCATGCACACACCCATATTCAGCTTACTCAACACACACAAACTCGCACGGTACCCGGGTGCCCTCCATCCTTCATCAGCCCTCAGCCCATCCATTTCCATCGTGTCGCATCACCCGAATCCGCTGCGCAATGCCGAGCCCAACCGTTGTAGCTAATCCCCGTCGTGATCTAGACCTCATCAGCCCGAATCTATAGATCTGCGCCTTGTAGATGCACGGGTGGCCTGCCCTTCTCCTGGCCGGGGGCTACGTTGCACACGGGTTACGGGTTAGGCAATGACGGCATTTGTGCGAGGCTTAGTACCACCTGCGCCATCGATCGGGTTTTGTTGAGAGCTCATGTCATGCAGGGGTTATCCCTGTCTTGGTGGGCGCACACACACATAAAATGCACAAGCTCTCGGTGGCATTGGATTGAGGCCGTTATGGCTGTTTACATCCCGGAGGATTGACTTTTCGGTACGGCTTCTGAAAGTCATGTGGTGTCCGCAGGTGTTTTGGGATCTAGACTGAACTGGGCCTGGCTTTTTCGGAGAATTAATCGTTCCGAGGGGATGGTTTCTGCAATATACGAGATATGATATAAGATGTGCAACGTACAACTACCTTCTTTACTGGGAACGTGTATAGGGTCATACCTTACAGACTATCCGAGGACGGGGAAAAGGGGGCCGCCTTCTCCGTGCAAAGTACTACTCCGTACAATATAGGAGAATACCGAAGAGAAAGAACTATGTCGATCGCTTGTCTCAGAGATAGATAGTTCCACTCGTGTTTTTGTTCCATATCTGAAACTATTGTCTATATTATTGTGAGCTAGACATTCCAGAAAACACTCAAAAAGAAGAGCAGAAAAAAAAAGGAACCCACATTCCATAGTCGGATTGTTTCAAATTCGGGCTCCATCTGAATGTAAAACAAAGGCCAGTGGAATAAGCTAACTAAAGCGCCTAGTGTTAAATCCGCTTCTAGCCTCTTCTATTGGCCTTCTATGAGGTTTCTCTTTTTGTTCTCTGGCGTTGAAATTTCAAGCCCCTTTCTTTTCTGTTTTGCTCGGTATTGGGTATTTTTCTAGCTCAGCCACATTCCACTGTAGCGGATCGATCGCTGTTTCAGGAACTGTGGGGAATTTAGCACGTTCCATCAGGGGTTGTCTGCTCTTGAGATCCTCTCGCTAGTTTGGAATTCCTACGATCGGTTGATCGCTGTGGGATGATCAGTGTGGCGTTGCTTTTCCTATTGACACTTGGGTAAATTCTGGATTAGGATTCTTGTGGATTATTTCGCTGCGCACTATATTTCCAGATCTGGCATATTGGGTCACATCCCTGAACTTGCTGGAGGAAGTCTCTGCCTAGAACAGAGTGGAAATCCTAAAAGATTACGTTCTTAATTACGTAGATTAATGCTATATTAACTTGTCTCCCTAATATCCCGACACAATGACAATATGTCATGCAGTAGCTGCAACAAGGTAGCCAATCTTCGTCATTAGAAAATAGATTGGATTTCGAAAAGTCTAGAAGGGGAAAAGAACAGGGATCACATGAAATCCAACTTAAAGACTAGGAGCCTTGTCTATATCCAACAACCCAGCCAAAGTGGATATTGTGCGCTGTTGTGTGTCGCCCGAACACGAACACTTCATATCCACCGTGCCCTATAAGCGTTCGAAGCCGCCCGTTTGACCTCTAATCCGATACAGATGTGTCAACCCGTCAAACAGAGGCCGTCGTGGAGATGTATCCGATCGGATCTACACGGCATACGCCTCTCGGCTAGTAGTTACCAATTGGTTTTTAGTTCCGGTCTGGAACCCTCGGGTTTGGGCGATAAGCGCGGAACGGCTGGGAAGTTGGCCAGTAAGTGTTTGGCCCCCTTGAAGAGCCGCTTTGGGGCGTAGATCCTTTAATCTCGGGTTCTAAGGTGGTCGGGCGCGTTACGTGGACACCGGCACTTGGCGGAAGGAATTTGCGATGGATAGATTGTTTTTGCCGGGTGACAACCAGTATATTGGGGCTTGGTTTGACATTGGTATATATTAGGCTTTCTTGGTGGATCATTGTTCGAGTGGAGGTTACATAGAGAGGCTCAAAATTCAATTCGTTCATTCAATACGGCATTGTACATGTTTCTCCAAGTGTAACTGTCTAGACATTCAGCATCTGCCGGCACACCCATTGTGCGGTCTTTGTATGGAGTGTCCAATCTCCCTCGTCTTCCAGAGTTTCCGTCTCCATTGCTTCGGTGCGATGCACACCCGCGTGACAGGCCTTTCCAAGTGCCTCGAAGACAACAACCTGGTCTCTCATATAACTATCTAGACAAGCCCTCTTGGTGGAAGCAGATTTCTGGTCTGGGTTGGCATTTGGACTCTCGTTTGAGATTTCCCCGATGAATCCTTCCACGCATCGGCGGACTAGATCTGCAGCCGCAGAAAATGCTATCTCGTTTCGAGAATCATGCTGAGGGTCATGGGCTTGCTGGCGGTTTCGCTTCCCTTTGTTCTTAGGCTTAGGCGGGCAAGCGCCTCCCATGCCGCCGAGAATATCGTGGCCTATTCTGAACCCTGAGGAGGTATGCGCCACAAGAAGGATGTACACATGGCTGTGGTGATTCGTAGCTTCCGATGTGTGGATTCTGATAGGAACTGGTGTACTTTTGGACGATGATGTCTTGAGAGGATCCTGCTCAGATGGAGGCGAGGCAAATATAGACGGATCCAGCTTCCTCGTTTCACGACGGACAGTGCGTTGAGTAAATTGTTCGATAGACTGGCGAACGGTACTCCCCCCACCCTCTTCTGCATCGGCGTTTAAGGTGGGTTGATCAGGTGCTAGCACTGTGATATCAATTTGCGTAACTTTCCCACGCTCGTGATCCATCAAATTAATACGTGGGAAGCTGCATAGAGGCTCGGCTGCCCTGTCCTTATCTGATGACTCCTCGGGTTGATTTTCGCCCTCTGGACTATGCCGAGATCTAAGGGTATGTATGAGAAAGGTGACTGCTCCAAGGTCAACCGGCCCCGTTGTCCAGCCGCGCTTATGAAGGATAATGGAGAGAGGAGGAAGTCCAAGTTTAGCGAAATTGGGCACGATAACTTGCGCTCCATAGTCATATGATGGAGAATATGTAGCGTTGGTTCCACCGATTATGTTCACCTTCACAAAGGGGGCAGGCGCCCGCGATCCAACATGAAGCAGATACGGGTAGAGGGCCTGGAAGACGAGAAAGATGGCACCGGCAGTCGTGAGCTTGATGTCGTATTCGGACTTTACAGTGACTTGCGACATGTCCAGGAGCGGACCGTTTTTCGATCTGGCGGACTGCGGACAGAAGTTCAAGGACTGGGAGCCAACCTCGCCTCCAGACACTTTGCTGCCGCTAATGTCGGCGATCAGCGTCACTGCTGCAGCATGAGATCTCTTAAGTCCCTTCTTTCCCTGTCTGTTCCCGCGAACATGATCGATGCTAACTGGACGACCAGTCAATGCAGACAACCCGATGGCAATGCGAACCAACTGCCCACCTCCTTCCAGAGTTCGGCCGTTCAAATAGACATGGTTTGATTCGGATGAAGTAGATCGCGAGGCCGCCATTTCAGGCAATTTAGTGGTCTTTGACGCTGATAATTTTGACACTCATGTCTTGAAATCCCTCAAAAATTTGTGGGAAAGCAATTAATATACTTCATTTCGACTCTCAGTTGGCCCTGAGTCAGATCATGAGGCTGCGTCATCTTGGCGTGAGTCACCATTTGGGGCTAGGGGTTCTTAGCGCTTAGCGAAGGCTTAACTCTGTTGGATACAGGGAAATCGAGATTGACCCGAGGGACTTGGAAGTTTGTGAAATTGACGAAATAAAATGTAGATGGAAGTTGCCATAGAGATATTTCGCACCTTCCGTGCTGATGGAGTACTTCCTTCCATGACCTCGTGTCTCGTCTTAAGTCTTCCCTTCTTCAAATCCCAAAATTCCTTCTTCTCTAAACCCCTTCTCCTCTACATACCTCTGTAGTTATATACTCTGCAGACTTTTTGTAACATGTTTTCCTCTACATCCAATACACGCAGCCTCAGAAGGTCCATGTCCACCCGCTCAATACGAAAACCGCGACGACCAGCTCCAGAGATCCCTGACGCTGCCATACAGCATGCAGCCGCTGCAGCTGCAGCCTCACGGGCAATGCGCTCAAGTCAAAGCTCGTCTCAGGAGTCGAAGAACTCATACGAACGACTAGGAGGTCCAGGAAATGTGGCCATCCCTCGAAGGCGTACCGGATCGAGTCTTCGGGGAACTGACGATAGCTCGTCGGTTGGCCAGGTTGACTTGCCTCAAGTTCCAAAACCTCGTCAATCCAAAGAATCGACCGGCGTATCGGCTCGAGGGCATTTCTTCGATGACCCTGCCGCCCTTCCGCCAATCACAGAACTCGACGGACTTGATGGACGAGACAGCTCAGTTCCCTCTTCATATCGTCGATTGCGCAAGGCCAAGTCAATGTTCTCGACGAGGCAGCGAACTTCACAGACCCCATACGGAGTGCCTCCGCTTCCTTGCGGTGATGCCCTTGATCCTGAGCGCAGTCCTGGATTTCAGCTGCCACGAACAATGAGACGATCCATGTCTTTTCTACGGGGGAGTTATCAATCCACACAAGTTAGTCCAACTTCTAAGGGGCACGATGCAGCTATTCGGCTTGCTCGTAGCCAGTTCGCTCAGGATCCCGACGGTAGAGGCGTTCAGACTCGCCGGCCATCTTTCTTGCTGAGACGCAAGAAGGAGCACAGGCCATTTCGAAAATCGTTCCGGGCCACGAGTGAAGGTGGCATCGATACTGGGCTTTCTCTTAAATCTCGATCTTTTTCAAGTTCCATCAAAAACAAATTCAGACGTGTGTTTGGGTTTTCCAGGCTCGCAGATCAACCTACGCCACATGGGGACCAATATGGCGCTGAGGCGTCCGTGGGAACTCCGATTGGGAAAAGCACGGAAGAATACTCTCCACACAAACTTGCAGGCACTGAAGAGGGTATTGATTCCAACTATTTCCGGTCAATGTCCCAGTCTCCCAGCCGCGATAGTCTCTGCACTTCAAAGTCGCGGGTCACCAGTTGGGCTGATTCAACTACACCGAACACAGTTACAACCCGGAAGCCAGGACATCGCCAATCTCTCTCTTTGATCCGAGAGGACGGGAACCTGGATCAGCAAGTACCACGGACGCCTACAATGGATGATACGACAAATCAATCTCCTTTGGGCGTGAGAGCCAACCCTCATCGAATTAGCATTGTTGACAGTCAAGATTTGTACACGGCGTTGATGAAACAAATGGGCCAGAATTCACTCTCTGATCCCGACGAGGAGATGGTCTTCGGCAAAGTGTCGCAGCATCGTGTGATTCCAGAGCGGACGAGTTCGGTCTACTCCCATCATGCCCGACGCAGTGTGCGCCATGTCCCAAGCCAAGAATCCTCAATCTCACCCGGTTCATTCGCAACAGCGCGTGGTGATCAATCCAGTCCACGAAAGTATCCGCGTTCAGCCAGGTCGATGCTGGTTTCTCGGGGCATGCCGTCTCAGGCGAAAAATCAACATATGACTGCTATTTCAGACAAAAGGTCACCGCAATCGACGTACGCTTTGAGCGAGGAATCGGATGAGGATAATGGTAGCGTTATTATTTCTCGCATTCGGGGCTCGAAAAGGGATATTATTTCCCCAAGTATCTATTCCCGGACCACCAGTGGCAATACCCCAACAAGAACTGACAATGCCGACATGGACATCCATGATGAACCAGGAACAGCGACCATCTTCTCTCCGCAACGGACAACATACAGGTCACCCAAGCGTGCCAATCGGGTTTCATCTCCCACACCTCATGTAAATCCCAGTGCGGACTGGCAGCAATGGATGAGCTCGCAGATCGAAAGAATTGAGCAGGCAAGCCCCACGAGGGAACACATCAGAGAAGATGCACAATACCAGGACGATGATGAGTACTTTACCAGCATAGCTCGACGAGCTCCTGTCGCTGTCTCCGCTCCCGCTACAGCAGTTGTAGAGGTTCAAGACAGCCAAAGTATCACTGAGCGCAAAGCTTCGGCTGAAAACAGAGTCCCGTCCCGGAGCAATTTCTCCCGTCCGTTAATCCAGGCTTCCGGGATGCGAACCGTCCTGCCATTGCAGACAACTAAGTCAGAAAATATGGCGCAGGCTCACGCTAACTCATTGTCCATGGATACCACTACTAAGTCTGGCGAGAACGCTTCACCCAAGCCAATACTCGTTGCTTACAATCAAGAACCGTCGCCAATTCGACTAAGATCCGGAAATATGCAGCCACCAGAGTCCCCAACCCCCAAGGGAGTGGGAGCAAAGCGATCCTGGACCAAAGAGCAGCAGCGACGCTATTCAGCCAGGCGTGCTCCGATCGCCCAAGATAACAGGATCAATCATTTCCGGTCCATGCGCACCCAACGAGATAACCGTCCAAACAATGAGAACGCGAGGCAGCAGGATGAGTACAATGACAGGATGGAGAGCTACCACCAACTTCAAGACATTCATTCCACGATCTCTAGCAAGCGCATGGTGGATATGTTCTTGGACAGTCGCCGTCGACAAATGGGTGAAAGCACTGACAACGATACAAGCACAGAGGCGTTTCTTTGAACCTGAGACTGACACTTTTTGCTATTGGAATACCTCGGAGAGAGTCCATTTTCTGCTCTGTCATATTCTTTCGGATATCCTGACCACTCATTCACTCATTCACTCATCCATCACTTTTGGGACATGTATACTAAAGCTCCGGGTTGGAGTTGGGAAGTCTGTTTACTTGATATGGAAGCAGCCATTTTTACCTCCATTATTTCCACCTAATAAGTAACAAATCCACCACTGTTCATTCGATATTCCTCCAGTTCGAAGGAAATAGGGAGGAACAAGACGAAAGAAAAATAGAAATCTCTCCCTCGGGGAATCAAACCCCGGTCTCCCGCGCTTATCGGTGTTAATAGCAAGCGGAAATCACCACCACCAGACCAAGGAAGATGTGATGGCTGAGTTACTGCTCGGCCACTTGGCTGGTCGATGTAAGGATTCCCCTATCTGGATACTACGAGTCGAGACCGGGAATCATCCACGTCGTAGTCAAAACTAAATAATTGAAAAGGTTCGATAAAGATTTTATTCTGACTACTATTAAAGGCAATATCCTTCGTAGTCTAACATGCATAGACGAAACTTTGAAGGTATTTGCGAGTGGGAGAAAAAAGACCTAAAGAAAAACCTAAGCTCAATGTATATATTATAGCTACCAATGACAATTATAAAAATGCGTTGAATATCCTAGCTTCAATTGCTAGAGCTATGGACTCTCATGAAAGACTGCACATCCAAGAATCCGAAAGCACATATATAATTGACTAGGTATCTTCACCTATGCCCTGCAAAAACTATTATACATCGTTGCGTAGGTATCCCTGGACTTGTTCGTTCAGCCAGTTATATGCATGCGTGGTGCTAAGTGGATCATAGCGTGTAAGTAACTGTACCATGTAGGGATTTCCCGTGTGGGTATTCCCCGTATAGGCCGAAGCCATGTAAGTATTTTCCGAGTAGGTGATTGCCGTATAGGTTTACCCCTTGTAGGTATTGTCCACACATAAGAGAAGAGAAATGGTCTTGTTTTTGCGTAGGCTGAACGGACTTGTCCAAGGGACATAACACATTTACCCAACAATGGATGTCTTCCTGGATATTCTGGACACATTGATCCTCGATCGGTGCTACGCGTTACTCTCGCCAGACCCAGCAGCAATTATCAATGACAATAGTCCAGTCAATGCCAATTTGAATCGGCATGTCGGCGTTTATTACCCCATACAGCCCTCAAAGTGGGCGGAGGCAAGCCTTTGGAAGAGAGATGATATTGCCAGGCAAGCATTGTCGTTATACTTGATTATATGGTCAGTTCCTTTGCGCCAAGTATAGTATCCCGACAACTGATTCAGGTTTCTATATACGCAACAGGCTTTTCGCAATGATAATGTACCTCCTCGGTAGCCTGTTACTATATCACACAGTATTCGACAAAAGACTGCTCCAACACCCACGATTCCTCCCAAATCAGATCAAGCTCGAGATCAACCAAGCTATCTCCGCGATCCCCGTAATGGCCCTCCTCACCGTCCCTTTTTTCCTAGCCGAGATCCGGGGATGGTCAAAGCTATATGATTTTACCAGCGACTCTCCGTTCTTCGGATACACTTTACTGCAATATCCATTGTTTATATGCTTCACAGACAGTGGGATTTACTGGATACACCGTGGCCTGCATCACCCTCGCATCTACCGCTGGCTTCACAAACCACACCATAAATGGGCGGTACCGACACCGTTCGCCAGTTATGCGTTTCATCCCTTGGATGGATGGTCGCAGAGTCTCCCCTACCACGTTTACCCGTTGGCTTTTCCGTTGCAGAAAGGTGCATATCTGGGGCTGTTTGTCTTTGTCACTATATGGACAGTGCTGATTCGTAAGTCTTATGATCCCCATGAAACAATAGCATGATAGCTTACATTAATTCCCACAGATGACGCCGAGTACATGCCAACATCGGAGATAATAAACGGCGCTTCTTGTCACACGATGCATCACTTGTACTTTAACTATAATTATGGTCAGTTTACAACGGCATGGGATCGTCTCGGAGGAACGTACCGAAAACCCAAGGGCGATAGCTTTATGGAAAGCCAGCAAATGGATGGGAAAGAGAAACTTGGAGATAAACTCGATTGAGACGGACTGTGAAGGAGGGCGGATTTCTATTTAAATGTACCAGAATGGTCGATCGCTTATGCGGCCTCTGTTATTGACGAGGTCTTCATCTGAACCGAGATGATATTAATATTTAAGATAATAATACAATGTAGTCTTTGATATCTCCTTTCCTGTAGCCAAAAGGAAGGAAATAATTAGCCGCAAATTGCAGCATACATGCGATGAAATGTGAATTGTCCATGTATAAAATTCGATTATATTATATTGATATCCAACCTTTATGAAGCAGCTTGGTGGCACCACTGAATGAATTCATTCAAGTTCCCCAAGTCGTCGGTAGCAGTGTCATCCATATATCGAAGGCTGACATCAGATCTGCCCGTAGCATCCAGCGTGGCATTCAACAACCACCAAAGTTCCTGAGCATGTTTCGGATACCCAAGGTGAAGAAATTGATCTTTATCCAGGAGACCAATGACAGAATCCCAGACGCGCTTCCAATTACCAGACGCACAGCGTATTCTATCGAGAGACAGGTATCTTAACAAGCCCGCTCTTGCCTGGAATGCGATGGAGTTGATGGCTATTGTGATATTATTAGCAATTAATCACTTGGCTGGCTTTGGTCACATACCATAAATCAGAATCAGGAGATGCTCTACTGACACCGAAAGACCCCACGGTATTCGGTCATTACTTAGAGGGGTTTCAAGTAACTGCGTGACCACATCTTTCAGGGGAGGAAGTGGGAGCTCCGTCGAGTGCGACATGGCAATCCTGCTGAAAGAAGAGGCGCTTTCGGCTTCCCATAACCCAGCACTCCAAGGAAAATGACAGTCCATTTCAAATACCGATATTGATGGGTGGTTCTTGAAGCAGACTATTAGGAATCCATCTGCCAGGAAGACCCAACAAGCGATTCTTGGAGCTGGTTAGCGGCGCATCTCGAAAGGAAAGACAAGATAAGAAAGACTGGGGATGTAAGGTACCGTATACACGTTTCTTCTGCCACCAAATTTCTCCAAGTTATCTCATCACAAACGGTGGGAGTCGTGCTTCGTTTGAGCTGAAAAATCCCTAGGGATCGTATGGTGGATACCAGACTTGGATGTCGGACGATGCGAATGCGACGTCTTGTTTGCATGTTGTCTTGTCCAAATTGAAGCATCTCAATAATAAGAGCACTCTGTAGTACTTGTACAGTTGATAATAGATGCGACTGGTCTTTCGGCGTAGCGAGTGTTGATAGATCCGCAATTTTCCGAAATATATACTCTTCCGCAACGTCGAAGAGACCGGATGGTAGGGCCCCTCCATCCAATGGAATAGTATACGTGGCACCGGATAAAAATATTGCGAGTAAAAGAGGATTGGAGATGTTCCCTGGATCGAAAGTTGGAAAATGCACCACAGGCAAATGCCAGTGAAGAGAATGGAAAAAAGCAGAGATAGAAGCGGAGATATTAGAAACCCCCAGGAGAGTAGAAAGCTCCATGAAATCAAGCGCGTTCAGCGTTCCTGTGCTTCTCAAACCCATTGAGTTTGAAGTGTCGACCAACTCCGTCATAATCTCGGATAATTGGTTGGAAAGCTTCGAAGGGAAGAGTGTATCGGGGTTGAATTGAAGTAGATAATCGTCCGTGAAAGAGGGCACAGTCGATGGTATTTGGAAAGGGGAATTTGTAAGTTGAAAATCGCTTCCAAAAGCCGACATAGGATCAGTGGGAACGAGGGCATCTTCGATATGGGAATTGAGTGTTTCGAGGTTTCTTCGAACAGAACATTTTGCAGTCTCCCCAATCGCCAGCCTGTCTCTTTGAAAACAAGGATTGGCAAAGTGTTGAAGAAAGGAAAACGATCCACTGTCTCTCGAGGTGACTGCAGGCGATGTGGTTATAGAAGGCGAGAGTGAGGTTACTGCGGAGCGACTGGGATCCCTGGAAGGTACCTCTTGGGTTACGAAAGTGCATTGTCGTCCAAGGGAGCGACACCGAGAGCAGGGTAAATTTCGGTCGCAAGATGCTTTGGCAAAGAAGCATAGCTCACAGGAACGCCTTTTCCTGCCTGGCTTGGCTGCAGGAGGCGCAGGTTGGTTGAACTTTTTTGCACAAGTTTTGATATGTCTTCGTGTGACCTCACTTTCGGAACATTAGATCATGTTCATATTTATGGTAAAGATAGTTTACACACGGCTTTAGAAATGCTTTGCTGCACAAGGGGCAGCTGGAAGAGAGCTGCTGTGTATCTGGGAGATGGTCAGCCTACTCGTATTTGTAATCGAGATCATTGGACATTACGGGTCGCTTCATGGCGAATTAAATGTGTCTTCCTCTGATAGGCCTTTTCACACAGTGTACATTGAAACATGACGTCGAAAGCAGCCTTCGTCATAATAGCTGAGTGAGGAAAAAAGGAAAGGGGCAGTGGGCGGCTACGAGGGTGGGCGCGTGGACGAATGCCATCCGTGCGTGGCCGGATCTTTCACAAATGGGCAGATTGATTTCTAGAGTCCCAAAAATTCGAATACATTCGATTTCAACAGGCTATTTTATTATTGCCTCAAATGAGCTTCTTATGAGGATTGAAGGGAACAGACTATACCGATCAGGATTTGTCATTTATTCGGGCAATGTACGTATGCCCGAGTACTACAAAGTACGGACTACGGAGCACAGCTCTCAAGGCTTCAACAAATCCCTAAACACAAATGGGACTGGGATTGAACCATGTAATGCTATGTAGAGTCTGCAAGGGTAAATGCTGAACCGCACTAACAACGCCCCAGGGCTGCATACTATGACTTGCTAATGAAATACTTCCTCCTGGCGGGCCGGGCCACTGAGGCAAGATTGCTGATCTTATGGTTATGATCAACAGTCCAAACGTGGGATCATCTCTAGTTCCCAACGTTTGGTATCTATGGCATACGCAATGATATTTGGAAAAATTCGCGATCCATTATGCCCGGAGGAGGGCTTTTTCAAGCGGCAGTTCTCAGCTCTTAGTTATTTTCCCAACCATTGAAAAGGTAAGCTGATTTTTGGGACCTATTTACGCGACGGGAGCAATTTAACGGAACTTTCCGAACCCCTGGCGTGCACCGGACCTGAATGCATCGAATCGATCAGATCATGAGTGGATCAGTACAAAATTCTTCCTAGATCATATCCACCGAGAACGTTCTCGTTCTCTCAAGCGCACGGTGTATTGTAATTATACTCAATGGATGTATCCACGATTTTTGCGTATGAGGAAGTAAACAGCGGAGGTATTAAGATGCCGGGGTAAAGCCGAGAATCAAAGACAGACATGCACGCCAGACTATATATCACGCCCCACGTACGGAAACAGACATTGTGGGTTATAACAAGATTGAAAAGGATCGAAATGATCGAAAAGGCGGTGGGGTTTACATCTCTAGCGCAGCCAAGGAGGTCAAGGGCCCCCAAGCTTGGAAGGGATAATGAACCATGGGGTAGTGCGGGATTTAGACCCTGAACTTCGATGCTTGTGCAATACTTCGGCGTCCGATGCGATGTAGTGCTTGGTTCGTAGGGAGTACAGAATAGTTTGCACTGGACTGGAAAGTAAAAGCGATCAGGTCTGATTGGCTCCAATTTAATTTAGATATGCAGCGTACCTGACTAGGAACCCTTGCGCTCCAGTAGCCGGGTTCTGCATTAGGTAGGAGGCACATGATGATTGGTCTATTGGGGTGACGGGGACTCGAATTTAGTCGAACAGCATTTTGCTGGTCTAATTTAGGATTATTCGGCTTATTTCGCCGAACAGCCTTATATTGAAACTGACACCTTGCTTGGGGTTGCCCCTGAACTGAGAAACCAAGACAAAGAACTGCTTGAGATACGTTGTGCATATGGGGGCGTCTGGCTGGACTAGTTCGGGCTAGACTGCGAGCGGGAGCAATCAAATAAAGCGCTAATTGCATTAGCGGCCCCGGAGTGAAGTGATAGGTCCAGCGTAAGATTCGAATATCAGGTTCGGTTCATTCACCAACTTCTTAACGGAAAACGAGGAAAAGCAGGAGCGGGCGACCAATTGGAAAGTTATTTGCAAGTAAAATGGGCCGGTCTAGTCTTAACTTCTCGCTTGGCGTTCCTTTTTGGGCTAACTAACAGCTTGCGATGTGCTTCGTAGATCGAGGTTTGCTCCCCTATTTTTTAAAATTGCTATAATGACTGCCCGATGGGTTGGCACATATAAGGCTGCCTACCTCTCTGATTTATTTCTGTTCTTCCTATCTTCGTTGTTAGCTTTTTGATCTATCACTCGTTTTGCTGGTATCATTCAGCGTCCATTCTTTATTCCACTCTGAATATACTTCCAGCTCGCAACGATGAAGCAGTCTATAAGAACTTCCCTTGTGGCTCTCGCAGCCTCATGCTTGGTAAGAAAATTCCGCCGATGCCGGGTGCTTTAACTAGATCCACAGCTAACATATCCCCTTAATGTATAGGGTGTTCAGGCCGCTGATGGTTTGATTAACGTGCCCGTTAATCTCTGCGCAGCCATCATTGGAGAAGCCGAATGCAACCAAAAGACTGTGACCAATGGGTTGATCAGTGTGCCTGTTAATGCGTGTGCTGCAGTCCTTGGAGAGGCCCAGTGTGAACAGGCCTCTTTGTCTTCCAGGAGCGACGGCGGTGGCCTGATTAGCGTGCCTGTTAATCTCTGCGCAGCCATCCTCGGAGAGGCCGAGTGCAAGCAAAAGACAGCCACTGCTGGTGGCTTGATTGATGTGCCTGTTGACGCCTGCGCTGCAGTTCTTGGAAAAGCCAAATGCCACCAGGTCTCTTCCTCCTCCAGCAGTAGCAGCAGCAGTGGTGATGGTGCTCTGATCAATGTTCCTGTTGGACTCTGCGCAGCCATCCTTGGAGAGGCAGAATGCAAGCAGAAGGCAGCCACTAGTGGTGGCTTGATCAACGTACCTGTTAACACCTGCGTGGCTGCCATTGGAAAAGCCAAGTGTGACCAGGCCTCTTCCTCCAACAGCGGCGACGGGTCCCTAATCAATGTGCCCATCGATGTTTGCCTGGCTGTCCTCGGCGAAGCTCTGTGCAAGCAGAAATCTGACTCCAATGGTGGTCTGGTCAATATCCCGGTCAACGTATGCTTGGCCGTTTTGGGTGAGGTTGATTGCCACGATAGATCGCCGCCGGCCACTGCCACCCCACCTTCCCCCGGGAAGCCCACCATCCCGGCCGAGATTCCAGGCAAGCCCACCGTCCCTGTTGTTGTGCCTGGCGAGACTCCCGTCCCTGTTGTTCCTGGCGAGACTCCGGTTCCCGTTGTGCCCGGTGTTGTTCCTGGCGAGACTCCGGTTCCCGTTGTGCCCGGTGTTGTGCCTGGAGAGACTCCCGTCCCTGTTGTGCCTGGCGAGACTCCGGTTCCCGTTGTGCCCGGTGTTGTGCCTGGCGAGACTCCCGTCCCTGTTGTGCCTGGCGAGACTCCCGTCCCCGTTGTGCCTGGCGAGACTCCGGTTCCCGTTGTGCCCGGCGTTG